ATAAAACTCTCGCGTACCCATACGTGAGAACTAAGTATATCTACGAATTGAATTTGAAGCCTTAGGTCGCACGCACACCAGGAATATTCCCATAAAATTTCAGCCTCTCAGCTTATCTGATTCCCCAGTTAATAATTTCCCCGCTAAAAACTTCACATTCCACATATGGGAACCAAGACCATTTAATGGCTGGATTTGAAATTTTTGCACCACACATGGCGAGAGAAAATCTCAAAATTTCAGCTTTTTGGCTTTTCTCGCCTTCGAGTTAACAATTTTCTTGCCTAAACTTTCGCGTGCCAATACTAAGGGACCAAACGTACTTAGGAACTGAATTTAAAAACTTTAAATTACACTTAGATGGAGAAAATACCCCTAAGATTTCAGTTTTTCAGCTTTTTTCATTCTCGGGCTAGTAATTTTAACGCATCCGTACGTGAGGCTTAAACATACACGAAAGTTCACATCATCTTCCTGGAGTAGCACTTTGCTAGGAAACCCTTTGACAAAAAACTAGCATTCAAGCTCATTTGTGTGGATAGTTGGAATACTTGGGCAGACAAAAAGACAGACATGCAGGCATACACACACAATGCACATCATGGGTCATTACAAAATGCGCTTTTTAATTTGTATAAATATGCAACGTCGCATAAAAAGGGTTTGGTTCCTCAGCCACAAAAGGGGATTGGTCCCGCCATAAAAAATATCGGTGTTCACCGATAAAAGAGGATCGGTCCTCCACCAGTTAAAAATAAAACGATCCTTCGTCGTTAAAAAGGGTCTGCCCCCTCTGAGGATAAAAAGGGGACAGCCTTTAGCTAAAAAAAAAGTCCGAGAGCGACATGTTCTATTTTGTCAAAATTGCGGAAAATAGAAGCTATAATAACGCAAACTTGTTGTTTTTAGCTGCTGTAAAAGTTAAAAGCATTAAATAACGTACACGATTTTAGGAATAACGATTCTTCAACACTATTTACTCATCAGTGAAGCTTTTAGAAAAGTTAAAGCAGCTCAGGAGAGCGAGCTTAGCATAGCTTTTTCCAGCGTGTGAACTCGCACTGCATTCCGAGCACTAATGGATCTCTATGTGAAATGACCGAACAGCCTTGCAAATATTATAAATTTGTTTTGGCAAAAAATGCACTAACACTGAAACATTTTTGAAGTCGACAGCGTTGACAGAATCGCCGAGAAACAATGTTAATTTCGCAACGATTACTGAACGGACATCGAATCTCCTCAAAAAAAATTTCTTTAAAATTTGCTGCCGAAGTCTGTTTAGTATGAACCGAGAGGGAAGGAACAGAAGATGGTGGTGAAAAGAGAACACTATTCAAGGTCAACTTGTTTTTCAACGAGCGGTAGAAAAACAGGGTGGTGGTAATGAAACCTACTTTTTCGAAAATACGCTCAAAAATCTTTTTTCATTTAGAAGAGGGGTATTCACCAATCAAAAACTGACCGTACTGCAAGCAATCATGATAAATGAGGCCTGAGTTTTGTTGGATTGACGTTTGGGTTTCAAGCGTTCTAAATGAGACTGGAATTTCAATGGTGCCTTTAATCAGTTAACATTATCGGATTGCTACTAACATGAATCTCATCATTCTAATCCGAACTACTGGCCTTCAGTTCTAGTTACAAGCAAAATTCCTGAACGGCGCAGCACCACAGAAAATTTATAAACGCTTTAAACAGTTTAAAACCTTTTCCTTGTTCGCGTTGCGACGGAAGAATGCCTTGCACGATTCACAGGTGATCACGTTGAAATTGTAACTGTAGGCTTTATCGCCACAAACACGACATATTTTGGTGGCGGTTCGTTTATCTGTTGTTGACAACATGCCGGCTCGTTTACGTGCCAGGAAAGCCGGGTCGTCACGAAAAACTCGCGTGTTTTCCATCGTCGATGTGCTTGCATCGGGAACAAACATCGTTTGGTCCATTAAATCTTAAACTCCTACGAGTTAATTCAACGAAAAAAAAACGCCTGAGATCTCATGCGCAATGTGTCTAATCGTCAGATAATTTATGCATTTTCTTTTTTATTAAAATGCAGACAAAGCTTCTTTTGGCTTGCTTTGAAAGAGACGTCCACAAAAGTAGGTCTAGAACAGGGGAATAATCAGTAAAACTACTGAAGTCAAATGCAGCAGAATAAAGATTGGCTTTTAGAACCAGATTAAACATTGTCTTCACACAGTTCCTTTTTACGAACACAGCAACCGTGAATACTGACGAAGTTCAATTACGATACTGAAAAGGAATGCATGCGAATTAACAAACCGAAACATTTCCTTTCAGGGGTAGCTTTGTTCCTTCCTACCCTTACTTTATTTTTCAATCTTTTTTTTATCCTTAGCTTCGTACGAAATTTTTACTATTATTTTTTTAAATTATTACTTCACTTTATTTATTATTACTGAATTAATCGTCGTCATTGTCATCAGTGGCATTATTATTGTTGTTACTGTTATTATTATTACTTTTCCAATAGATTGTTATACAATACGCTGAATACAATAATGCAGCCAAGAATGGCAATGGATGCGTACGAACCAAATGGAAGAGTTGGAAAAGCGTACTGTAGCGAGATCTCATG